GTACCCTCTCAATAGGGTTCTCTCACTTTTCTTATCGTGATAATGCTAGTAAACGTTGCATGTTTCACGCTTTTAAGATAACACCCCGTGGGACATCCTTAATAAACGAGATTGCGGAAGCTTTTTTGCTGTTATATAATGAAGGAACAGATTTGATTGAAGGGCTGGAGGAAGGTGGCAGCTGTCCCCGAGAGCTGTCCTTCTCTCTCTGAAAATTTTTGAAAAAATAATGACGATCCGAAGCTTGATGGGTGATGGGTGATGGGTGATGGGAGCTGTGATGGGCGATGATGGCTGCATACGTTCTCGTCGATTTAAAAATTACTGTGGACTGAGGAGTGAAACACCTCACAAGCAACACCAACTTGAATAGCAGCACCAGCAGCACCAGCACCAGCAGAAAAGTAACAACAAGCAGCAGAAAAGATTGTCACAATGAAGATTCATCCAAAACTGGCCGGACTTTTGTGGATGGGACTTCCTGTCAATGCCTTTTACATGAACCGTGCCTCGAGAGCCAAGTTTGCCAAAGCTCCCAGTGCCTTTGAAGATGTTCCTGTGGTGGTGGAAGAAACATTGAGCACTGATGAGATGGAACAATGGCTGTCGAACATTATGAATCGTGCCAAGCAGGAACCCATCTTGGCCCAGTTCGAAAAGGATCAAAGCAAAACGGCCATGCCCTTGATGGAAGCGGTCAAGGTGGCAATCCATAATTCCACCCATGACGATCCAGTATACTTGTCATCGGTCCGTGAGACTGCCTCTCATGCCTTTACAGAGACGGTGCCCTTCTTTCCACTCAAAGAGGCACTCTTTGCCAGCGGCGCCGATGATGACGAAGCAGACAAATTGGATTGGTTCAAGTGCTTTTCCAATTTTGCCAAGGTTCACGACACACTTGTGGTAGCGGGAGAAGGATCCACATCGCCTTGTCTGCAGTGCCATGCCTATCAAAAAATCATTCTAGGCATTGATGGGAGTCAACTCATTCGCATTGTCCCGCCACTTACACAACAACCCAATGACGCCATACGAGCTTGTGCATCACCGACGTACATGGAATCGGCCTATGGATTTCCCGTCAGTACAGGGTTCCATACCAAACACGATCTCTTTCGATTCCGTCATCGTGATGTCGATTGGGAATTGGATCAAATGAAGACACATGGACAAGAAGAATACCGCAATCGCTTCGACAATCACTTTCAGCATTGGGCCGAGGATCCAACCATGTTCATCCCATCCACACCCCTCCAAGGACAGGACATGGACAAGTTTCACCATGGCATGTGGCACAGTACTGTCATATTGCCAGGAGACATGGTCGTGATCCCTCCTGGATGGTGGTATCAGACATACAATGTAGAACCCAGTGTCTCTATTGCAAGTCAACGGTGTGGTGGCAGTGCCATGGCCACCAAGTTCATTCATCATGCATTGGAAACCTCCGGTGTTGATCGTACATTGCGACTGAACCAGGATGATGGGCATTCCGAAGAAGAAGCTATGACCATTGTCAGTGGACTCTTTGAAGTGCTGGAGGAGCACTACAGCAAGTCCAAAAAGAATGCATACTAAAGCAGAGAGAAAGAGAGATCCCAATGAATAGAACGAGATGAGTACAAGCACAGAAACAGTGATTCCCGTATTTGCATAAACCTTTTGATAATATACATGACACGAAACACTGGATGGCAAAACAATTGCGTCATTCCAATGACGCGGACTGAACGGTACGACAACAAGCAAACAGAATAGAACCAATAGTTGCACAACTGGCTGACAAAACCCCTGCTGGCGGTTCACCTCCTCCCTCCTAATCAATCTAACACATATCATTTGCAGCTGATTGAATCATTCGATCCCTTTTCCGCCACAGCACACGGTACCGTATAGTTACTGCAGTGACTATCTAGTAGGCGGTTATTGAATCCAACCATTCCTGCTGTCGCCGTGCGACTGCACCGTAGCATTCATGCCCCAAAAGGGAAATTCTTTTGCATATGATGGTGGCGCTGCCTTGCTGGGGGGGGGGGGTGATACGAAGGCAACGAGCTACCTAGCTAGTTTCGTCTCCCGGGGACGACTTGCTTGGGCCCATGGTACTGATGAGGTTCGAACTGTGGCTTGTAAAAACAGTACCTATAGAACTCCAGTTTGACAAGCGGTGCGTGGGTTTCCTGTCAAGTACTAGTAATAATGTATGTATGCTTGGAAACAAACACTCTCCTCCCATTTCCCATGTGTTTTCAGGATGCTGCTAACCAAGCCAGCAGAGTGGAACTATCGCGATCTTCCGTTCTTCCTTGCGCTAAAAGTACGCGAAACAAGGGGGTTTACGTGAATTAGCGTCACTGGCACGTGGTCGTAACATCCGAAGATGCCAGTGGACGAAATTGTTGTTGGCCATCCCACAACAGCCAAGATCTTGTCGCTGCCAGGCTATAGGAGGTAGAGGTCGAGGAGCTAGCCAAGAGCACCCTCTACCCAGATTGTGCTCTACCCCAGGGATGTCTTCTTGATTCTATTCGATTAGTATCTGTCTGTTTGTTTGTTTGATAGTAGATGATCACCACCACCATGTCGCAGCCCGTGAGCACTACTAGTACTCCAGCGAGCAAGAAGATGCTGCGCAGTTCGTCGAACCGCAAATTTTCTCCTTCGTCGACAGCAAGTCCTACTGCCGTGTCTCCTCCCACTGCAAGTAGCAGCAATGATGGAAGTCTGACGGAAATGGCCCCAGAAGATTGGAAGGTTGTGGCAAAGCTTCCTGGCAACAAAAACTGCATTGATTGCAACGCCAAGTACCCACAATGGGGTTCTGTCAATTTTGGAATTCTCTTTTGTACAAGATGTTGTAGTGGACATCGGTGAGTCAATCAACTTTAGAAGTCCATCTCAAGACCAATGGAGTATGGTTTGGTGTGCACTCAATCATCTATTTCTTGATTTTCTTCGTGTCTGGTTGTATCAAATCCAACGGCAGATCTCTTGGGACACACATTTCCCGCGTTCGATCAATTCACATGGATTCTTGGACGGAAAGCCAAGTCAAGTTGATGAAAGTGGGTGGCAATCAGCAGTGCGAAGACTGGTTTGCCAAGCACGGAATGCGAAAAAAAGTCGGTCACAAAGCCAAATACGACAATGAAACCGCCAAATTGTATTCCGAAATTCTCCTGGCTCGCGCCGAAGGACGACGAGAACCCACATCGTTGAAAGATGCGGAGCGATTGAACAAGTGGAACAAACCGATTGAACTCTGGAACAGATTCATGAAGGAAGTTGAAGGAAGGAGACACAAGTCCCTCATGCAACAATTCCAGGCCATTTCGTCCAGTTCGGATTTCTGGTTGGTTCTCTATATTTGTGCCCTGGTGGGATGGTCCTTTCTAGTTTTTATTGCTTGGCAATATCATCCATGAAAATAATCAGACAACAAAAACACAACAACCTGGTGTGGAGAGAGAAGTCGGCATGGGGCAGGTTGGACCAGCCCTTGTGCTGACTGATCCATCCACATTGTTTTTGGTTGGGTTTTCAACTGTACTGAATGTACAACAGTAGAAAACCTCCCTCAATTTATTTGGTTCATGTTGAGGCAGCATATTATTGACAACAACAATTTGAATGCATCCGATCAGAGGAGGTGGGCAAAGTCGATTTGATAGTCCAGTAGGTAGGTAAGAATTAGTTAGTAGTAGTAGTGGATGACCAACATCCTATATTTAGTATTACACAGTTTTTGTTGTTGCTTTGCTTCTTCCCTTGAAATACCTCCGTTCAAACACACAACCTCGTTGCCAAAAGTTGCTCAGCAGAGGAAGCTCTGATTAGAAAATGGATCTTCTCCATTGCTTTTGTTGCATTGGTGGGAAGGAAGCATTCCTCCATCGCTTGTTGATTGTCAATGGGTGGTTACAATTGTGCAAGAGGAGAGGAAGGAAGGAGTCATGGTCATTGTACAAGAGCTCTAGAATTTGCACGGATTGGTCTGGTACCGATCGAGACATTGGCTGGGCATCTCTGCCCTGTGCGACTCGCCATACAGAAGGGGGGAAAGACCGGAGGCAATCGAGGCGGTGCTGGAGCTACAGGAAGAACTGGTGGTGGGCTGAAGCTGTGCTTTGTCTCCTTGTTTTCATCAGTGACGACAAGCTATCGCGACAAACTATTTGCAACAGGTATCCCATGCCGTCTACTAGCCATGTTCGCCCTTACCCCATGAGAAGCTAGTGCTTCGGCGGATCAGCACGAAGTCATTGTTTGGAGTACGTAGCAGCGGACATGCCTTGTGTCACCTTTGCGCCATTCAATGGGTGGAGAAAAATTTCTGTGCCGCCGTTCGCTACCAGACATTCCTATATAGCTAGATTAGAGGCAAAACTATGTTTCGGCTAGTTCCAGAGAATATCCAGCTTCATGGGGCGTTGTGTCGATTGTCTCCACAGCTTGGTAGAAATTGGGGGCAGTCCGTTGTTGCTTTTTTTGTTTCCAGTACAGCGCTCCAACGATCACAGCAACAGCAGCCATTAGAAAAAACGGTACCCCAAAGAACGATCTGCCCTCGGCTGTATATTCATACTCCACGAACTGCACATCCTTGGGAAAGTTCATAAAGTTCATGGGTTCTTGCCCACATTCTACGGCACTAATCGTTTGCATCTCGAGATTGACGTCACCCGCAGCACCCTCTCCAAGAATGGCCAGTTTCTTGATATCCTGTAGTGTTGCCAAGTCGGGACAAAATTCTACATCGTCCCTACAAGGCACCACGGCATCTCCCGTGCGAGGATCCCAATCCAACGAAAAATCTTGAAAGGGAATCAGCACGGTTTGAAATCCTGTGGATGGTACCGATGCATCCAGATAAAAGTGGGCCTTGTGTCCTTTGATATATGGCATTTGGGTCACGGGATCGTGTTCGGTTCCAAAGCTCAAGCGGAATCCTTGATAGGAAGGTGTGGTCGACCGTGCCACGAGCTTGATGGCACGGCACGTGGAAATGTCGTCAAAACTGCTACTGCCGTCCAGCTTGATGAACCCGGGTCCGGCAATACGGGGTAGAAAACCCACCCTTCCGTCGTATACTCCGACGCCATTTCCAATTCGAAAATCGCCATGGGAAGGACCGCCCATGTGATCGTCGCCAAAGGTACTCCACGAGAGCTTGGGAGACGAGAAATCTTCCAGCACTACCTCATACTCTGCTGCCGATGCCATTGTCATGACGACCATGAGGCTGGAAAGGAATAATACAGTGGTGCCTCTCATCATCGTGGCGTTGCTCAGTAGTGCTCAAATAATAGTTTCAAGGACACTACTCTCAATGTTCACTTCTTTAAAGAGCGCCATGTCAGCGCTCCCAAGAGACCAAAGAACATTGTGTTCGTTGCACACGTGCTGTGGACGTTTTTCCAAGATCAAGTTGGGAGGAGGATCTGAACGGATCACGAGTCATGAAAGCTGTGACTGAATTGGGAATGCTTTTTGTGAATGAAATAACAACGGGGGCGAACTCCCGATTAATAAGAAAGCAAACAAATGCTTGACTATCATCTGGCTGACCGTCACCAAGGAGTGCCAACAACGAGCAGACAGGATGCTGTCTGCGGGCGGAGGATAGACAGGTTGACAAGCAAGATACCAATGATTCGTCCTCGCTCTCGGTCCAACCGGGTCAAGTTTGAAAAGGCCAACCACACAACTCTTCCTCCACTTTGGCTTGAGACAGTTGTAACTTGTGTCTTGTTGTGTTGTAGCAGCCAGTCTACCGTATCTATATAGTTGTGTTGCAGCAGTAAGCAAGGTATCAACATGAAAAAGAAGTCCCACTATTACAGTATGACACTAGATTTTCTCTAAGCGGGGGGGGGTCAAAACCAGCGGTTCAGGCAAACATGATGAAGGCGTGTACGCTGCAGCCAATGTTCGTGCCTTTTGCTTTTTGTGCCAGTCAGCATGATAATATGCTTCGATTCTGCAATCAACGGTTGCCATTGAGGACAGTGAAGGTAGCCAAGATCAATCGATGCTGCTGCCTACCAGAGATCATCATCTTCCACAAGCGCAAGTGCTTGCATTACTGTATCTTGAAGCGTTGTTCTCTGCACATTTGTTGCAGAGCCTTGCTGAACAAGTTCATGCGGTTGCACCTGTGGCTCTTCGCGAAGCCGTACATTATTGTTTTGTGCTCGAAAGCCTTCAGTCAACAGATGGATAAGAGGAATACTACTTGGAATACTTGGCACTGCAATATCCTGGATCTCAAGGTTTTCAGGTCCTGCTTGCGCCATTGTTGTATCGACGATCGATGATCAGACGGAGGATGATGGACTTTTTGCTGCTTGTGTGCTCGAAACTGGTTTTTTTCTTTTCAATGCTTTTTATGGCACTTCTCACGAGCCGTTTTCATCTTCTTCCATCTTTCCTCGTGTAGCTTTCTCCTGCATTATTTATTTGATATTTAAGATACTCGTATGTACCATACAGCGTACCGGTACCGGTACCGGTAGCTACCGTAACGAGATTGGATTCTGGATTCTGGTGACCCTGCGGCCATTCTTGGGCAAAAATTAGGTCAAAGACTTAAGCACCATTCACACAAAAGAATGCTGATGGTACATGTATGATGCAACGCATGTCTTAAAAGTTTCCACTGTGTATGCAAACCCTTCCAACTTGGCTTCTGCTTTCTAGGATCAGCCCAACAGGGAGAATTTCTCCCTGTTCGTACCAGGTAGGTCATTTTCGCGCGGACACAGCGAAACCAGCCTGTACATAAATAAAAATTCCATAAAAGTGTAAAATGCGCAAAACTGAAAATTAAAAGTCCTTGTTATTAAGAATCTCCGTGACGTGTTTGCATGTGTGCACCCACTGTTGCTAGGTAGATAGCTAGGTAGCTAGCTATCAATGACAGAGTTACAAGTAGCCTTTATCTACTAATCATTAGTTGTATACTAACACCTAATTGTATTGCTTTAAAGCTTGCTCCCAGCCTGGGTTGCTTGAGATGTTCGAGCTGGGCGAAAGCAACAACCCACAAGCACATTCGAGCATGTAATGGATGGCCCTGCGCTGGTTCTCTACTGGGGTGAGCTTCTTGTTCATCTTCTTGATATTTTGAGTTTCTGCGAAAGTAATATTGAACATTTGGGCCAGTACTCGGGTTTGGGTTGCTAGATTTGTATGGAAACTGTCACTTTGAGGGGGCAAAGCCACACCCAAACCAACATATTGTTGCAGACTTTCAAAGAAGCCCCGCCTTCCACAACTAAAGGATGATGGATCTTTGTCTCCTTTGAATGGGTAGCTCGTATAGAACTCGGATTTCCAGTGCTCTGGTGCTTGGAGCTTGGAGCCTTTTTCATGCTCCAAATGTCGGCTATGCATATCTCTGTCATCTACGGAAGCCACCATCCCAGCTCGAACCCATTCTCTGCGATTGCTGTCCCAATAGTAGTAAGCACCATCTTTTCTAATTCCCAAAGTAACAAGTTCAAATTGAGAAGGATCCGCTAGCAAACAATCTGCCGCGCCAAAGCAATGCAAATCGTTCACTACCATGCCGGCCATAGTAAAAAGAGCAGACATATAGCCTAGCCTTTTGGCTTGGAAGCTCCAGCACCAGTTAGATTTATTATGAGCTTTCACTCTTTGGCTTTCATTTACGAGCCAGTCCAATCTTGTAGCTAGCATTCCTTGGAGGTGATCTGCTTGAACTTGCATCGCATGATCCGTGGTAACATCCAATCCAAAGATATTTTGGGCCAAACTTCTAAAAGATTCCATTTGCATCAAACTAGAAGCAAGAATAGATCTACTCGCAGCAAATCTAGATTGTGAAGATCGAACAATAGTTGCTCCAAGATGTCTCTGGGAAAGCTGCTCCTGCTGGGAATTGCTGGCAGCTATTTGCTTTGGCTTTTGCAGCAGTATAGGTTTAGCCTTACAGTCATCGGCCATCCTTATAAGACAGTGTGTAGTATCTCCCTTAGAAATATCACTGAATTTGCCTTTCTTTGGAGGCCAATCTTGAGCTAATTCTCTTGGCCAATCTGCTGTTTTCTGGACTGAAGGGAAGCACCGGACATGAACAAAAGCTTGGAGTTCAGATTTAGTTGGCTCATCAAATACAGCCATTGGTGCCTGGGTAAGCAACAGGTTCTTTGGTTGCAAGACCTTAATCAGCTTTTGTTCGCATGCTTCATTGCTGGCCACAAGATTCTCATATTTAGTCATTTCCTTTTTAGACTGCTGATCAAGTTTTGATTGAGCCTGTAGAGTTTTTGCTGCTCTAAGACCTATCTGATATTCATGATCGAGAATCTTAGCCCGTTGGCGCCATTCTTGGCTAATGCCCTGGTGCTTCGGTACATCTTGTCCTGTGGGATCACTTGGTTCACTTTGACCATAATACTGAGTGAGCGGTCACCAAAACCAGCCATGGGAGAGAGTTTTTTGAGATTTTGGTGCATATTGGAAGAAGTCTGCTTCAAGTACTGACGGACAGTGGTAAGCTCCTCATTAGCTTTCCTCTTTTGTGCTCTAGAGGGATTGCGAGTATTGAGTACAGTTTGTACATCAGCTAAAACCTTCTCTGCCTCTGCCACTGTTTTCTTTGTTTCAGATAGCTGTCCAAAAGACGCCACACTAGCATCAATTTTAGTTGTCACACTTTTAGTTGGAGTGATAGCTGTAACCTTTCCAGATTTTTTGGGGCGCATGCCGGTAGATGGAGCCATTCCAGGCCAAACAATGTTTGTAGTGATGCCAGAGGCAAGTCGACCTGGTGGTTGCAGAAAAATGGCCAGAAGGTGGCAGCCCTACTTTGCTGGCCGTTCGTAGCTCCCAAAGCTAGAATATAAACAATCCGATACTGCCACTGTGACGGGCACGTCCAAATTATATATCTGGTATCTCAAGGTACTACTGTGATGTCTAGATTGCTTAAACTGGGAAGGGTGTTACTGTCAGCTTACTTGATAGCTCAAAATGAGAGATGGGAGCAACAGGAACAAACGTGAAGAAGGCAGGTTCAAAAGCTCTCCGAGAGCTCAGAAACTCCCTCCAGCAAAACGTCATTCAAAAAAGATTGTGAAACGGTCAGATGTTCCCATGTGTTCCGGGGGTTCTCCACAAAATTCTCCCTGTCGGACCATTCTCGCTGTTGGGCTGATCCTAGCTTTGTGGACACTGAAACAGACTTGACTTACTTCAAGGCTTTTATGGCTTATGGCTTGTTGGCCTTGCCAGTTGCAGCGTTGCAGCTCTACGGTAGCTATCATAGCTAGTAGCTCGCCGTGTGGCTCGCCACCAGTAGGAGCCCCTACTGAAAACATTATGAGAATGTTGGCCAGAGCAGCGTAGGCCAAAAAGAGGGAAGAAAAGGCAAGACTATAATCCAATTATCTCTGACCAGCTCTCTGATCTACCTTCTAGTTGGTATTAGGTGAAGTACTGTGAGTACTTTACAATGTACTCGAGATAGTAGAGCAGTGAGAGACCCTCAAACGCACGCGATGTAATACATGTAATACGTACAATGCGTATTCTACGTATTCCCGTATAATACGTATAACACGTATTACACGGTCGCCAGCCAGCCACCGTGACCGTTCGAGTGACCGTTCGCAAAATGGCTTCAACACCAATCTCCACCAATCTCCACCACAAAGAACCACCATGACAACAACCTCTCTTCTCTGTTTGTTTGAAGGATACAAAAGGTTTCTTTGTTATTTGAAGATGTACCATCATTGTGGGTAAGTAGGCAATGTGGTATGGCTTTGTTGAAGCCAAGAAGACTGTTTCTTGGAAGATAGAAGGATTCTCTCCATTCAACTCCTTCTTCATTCTCCTGCCCCCACTCTCTTTATCAGGCTTTGTCAAGCTCACAGACCATTCTTTTGCATTATATACTTCTGAAGGCTCACGACGAAGCCTGTGGAAGAATCTGGCCTTGAATTCTACCATTGTCAACCACTTTCCATTGTCAACCACTTTCTTTAGGGACCAGTACTGAACCATGTAATACCTCAGCGCGCAACACGTTTACATGTACGGTTATACATGTTACGCGTGTAACACAGTGTTATGCATATTAACGTGTTTATATTATACGTATCGAAGCCCGTGTTTATACGTGTAACAGGCTGTAACATGTAATTAGCATACACCCGTGTTATACGTATCACCCGAT